TGGTAAGGAAATTGTAAGTTTTCATATGGTTAATATACTGCATCTTCAACACATGTGTCCAGGGTAAGTCACGGCTGATCGTCAGGAGCTTAAAAAAATCGGTCCCTGTCCAACATGAAAGTTTGCAGCAGTTAGGCCAAGAGGTATCTGTGAGAATAAAATGGTTTTAACGTGGTGCCCCAAATGCAGAAGCCTGAGTGGCAGGTGAGCTTGGTGGAATATACCAGGGCGAGGTGTCCCATCACAAGAAGCCTCGTCGCCTGTCTGTGAAAACAGCGGAACAGGGCAGTTATGCTCTTGGTGAAGGAGCAGGTCCACAAGCAGATATTCTGCCCCTGGGCCTTTTGTGGATTCATTGATGCTAACTGTTTGAATCGTGTCCAGAAACATGCCGAGAGTTAACGTAAGTCTTTCAGTTCAGGGAAAGAACAATGAACTCTTGCTGCCGTATTAATCTAGCTGAAGCTGAGGTCCCATAGGCTCGTGCTTTGAATTACCGTGTGGCTTAGTGACTTCAGGGAGTGAGATGTGGCTTCGGTACAGGACTCACCCAGGATCTGCAATATGGGGGTAATCGTGATGGGTCGCTTATGTGGTTATATATAAAGTGCTTTGAAGTTGTGAAATCTGTTATGTAATTTATCTAGTCTAATTTTAATCTGGCTTCAGGCCTAAGATTGCTTTGGTCTCTCTGGGAGCTGGCAGCTGTATGGGGGAATACATTCCTGTTGGCTCTAATAAATCTCTCAGCCACATTCACTACTATCAAGCCTTATATCCTTCCTGGCCTCCTGACATTTTGGTTTGGGAGAGACCATTTTGAAGTGTCTCTAATCCATATTTAGAGATTGGTTTCTGAAGCTGGGGGTGGGTGGGTTTCAAATTCAGCCCTTTTTATGTTTGCATGCTTTATTCTTCAGAGCTCAGTCTTCCATATTGTTCAACATCTATTTAAAATACCAAAAGAGATAATTGGGAATGGTACTTTCATTATTATTATTGTATGGGTAATCTACAATTAGATTCACAGTCAAAGACTGGTGAAAATGTAATCATTTAAGTCCTAACCAAGGACCCGAGAATTATTAACGTAGCATCTGAGGATAATAGGCAATTCCAAGCAGGGTGTTATTATTAGATTTTTATCCTACCTTTTTTATATATAATTCAAGGTGGCGAACATATCTGATGCTCCTGCCTCCTATTTTCCCTACAACAACAACCCAGTAAGGTGGGTTGGGCTGAGAGAGAGGGACTGGACCAAATTCACCCAGCTGGCTTTCGTACCTAAAGCAGGACTAGAACTCAAAGTCTCCTGCTTTCTGGGCACTACACCAAACTGGCTGGCATATTATAATATTGCAAATAATTAATGACTTTGTTTCTCTTTTCTCTACTAAGGTAGTTGTTGTTCCGAATCAGTATTTGGCACAATAATAGAGTGAATGAATGGTAGTAAATTGAAATTTAATTCAGTCAAAACAAAAGTCCTTCTAACTAGAAAAAAGGCTGGTTGTCTTTCTCAGCTGGGGTTCTACAGAACCTGGGGTTCTGCAAGAGATTGTGGTTGGAAAATAAAAAAACCCAGAAAATGGCTGGTGTGGGTCTTCCGGGCTGTGTGGCCGTGTTCTGGAAGTTTTGTTTCCT